AACCTCTGTCTTCCGGGTTCAAGCAATTCTCCTGCCTCAGCAGGAGTAGCTGGGATTACAGGTGCCGCCATGACCAGCTAATTTTTGTATGTTTAGTTTAGACGAGGTTTCACCATGTTGGCTAGGCTGTTCTCGGACTCCTGACCTCAGGTGATCTGCCCATCTCAGCCTCCCAAAGTACGGGGAGCACCGGCATGAGCCACTGCTCCCGGCCTTGTGTATCCTTTTATAGATATTCTGGCATCTTTATTATACTGATAAAACACTATACCAACAAAACGCAAAATCTGCATAATATACTATATTGATTCATTTCACTTCATGTGGTGCCTAAGTTGTGCCATGCCCTGTGCTGGATTCACATAAAATACATTGTCTAGAGCCCCAAGGGTGTACACGTTGTGTATGTATGTCTGTTAAGAGGGAGTGTGGGTAGCTTACGCCTGTAATCCCAGCACTTTGGGAGGCTAAGGGGTGGGGGGGTGGATCACTTGAGATCAGGAGTTCGAGACCAGCATGACCAACGGGGTGAAACCTGGTCTCTATTAAAAATACAAAAATCAGGCCAGGTGCGGCGGCTCACGCCTGTAATCTCAGCACTTTGGGAGGCCGAGGCAGGTGGATCACCTGAGGTCGGGAATTCAAGACCAGCCTGACCAACATGGAAAAACCCCACCTCTACTAAAACTACAAATTAGCTGGGGTGGTGGCACATGCCTGTAATCCCAGCTACTCAGGAGGTTGAGGCAGGAGAATCGCTTGAACCCAGGAGGCAGAGGTTGCGGCGATCCGAGATTGTGCCATTGCACTCCAGCCTGGGTAAAAAAGAGCGAAACTCCGTCTCAAAGTAAATAAATAAATAAAATAAATAAAAATACAAAAATCAGCTGGGCATGGTGGCCCACACTTTACAAAAGCTTCTGGAAATACCACACTTAATCCTCAGGGAAACCTTGAGAGGTAGGAATTACTGAAAATACAAAATTAGCCAGACGTGGTGTAGTCTCAGGAGTCTGAGGCACAAGTATCCTTTGAACCTGGGAGGCAGGGTTGCAGTGAGCTGAGATCAGGCCACCGCACTCCGGTCTGAGTGACAGAGCAAGCCTCC